CGCCATGCGGAAAGGCCCACCACATCCGAAAAAGGTCTTCTATCTCTTCATCCTTTCTTCCCAGCCAAGCACATCGTCCGAGTCACGACTTCTCCGTGGCCGAGCACTTTTCCGTGGCCAGATGGGGCGGGCCCTTCTCCGGAGCCTGGTGGAGCTTGGTGAACTGGGTCGCCGAACTGGGTTGCCCAATTGGTGCGGGTGGTTGCCCGACCTATTGATGAGTGTTCATAGATCCAAACTACTCTAAAGGGAAGGGTAAAGGATCAACAGATGTCAACATTAGAGTCTCTTGTCACCTGTCCACTTGATCCTCTCCATCTTTCTCCATCTTGGATCTGGCCATCCTTGGGCCAAAAGCACTTTTAAACGAAGGTGCCCTATATCTACTTGCCGAAATCACATCTATCCTCTGGATGGGTTTGCCATGAACAATACCTGCAGAAGGGCCACATCACGTTGGTGTTGCGCCTGTGAGGCTGCAGATTCGGCCGAAAAGACTTGCGTTTGCTGACTGGACCGAAGCCACATCCTTTTGCCAGTTCGTTTCAGGACACCACACCATTCCTCCAAAAATAGCCTTCTGGGCACCTGGGGTACATGGAAATCTGACCATCATCATGAACTACATGTTTTCAAGTCCACTGATATTGACGCGCCTTGTTCTCTGATCTCGAAGGGCCAGCATGGTACTGGCAGCTCCTCACAGGATGCAGGTCTGCCACTAGTCTGTCCTGATCTGTTCTAGTTCTATGCTACATGTAGCAGGGTAGCAGTTCATGCTACATATGAGACTTCAGAATTGCCAGGCCCTTTGTGAAATGGCATGGACATGCACAGCACCGGTTGGTCGCCGATGACCGGGGACCCGGGGCATCAAGAGGGAAACCTCCAAACACGACGAGCGAAGCTCGCAATGCTGCCCGTGGTCTCTTTGACTCGTTGATGAGGAGTGGAGAGACATGGACAAACATCTTTGGGTCAGAGATGCCGAAATCCCGCTGATTTCCGCCTGCCCGTTTGGTGGTTCACATCTCACTCTTAGAAACATCTCCAGCTGGCAAAAGCTTTCCAGCGCCACAATTCTTGGCTCATTTCATCTCCCTTCCCGCAAGTTCGCCACGGGAGAGGATCCGCTTGGGATTTGAGATGCCAGGTGGGGACCGTACGACAGCTTTTGCCGTGGCCAGACATTGTGCTTGGTTCACTTCTACAAACAAATGTGTCTGTGTCAACTCTGACCTGTCAGCCTGTGGAAACTCTTTCAATTCTGACCTGTCAGACTTCTGACTTTCTCATCTACAGCAAAAGAAAGCTGCTTGCTCGACTTGCCAAGTGGACTGTAAATCCTCAATGCTCTGATGACTGGTGTTGTCAAAACCTTTGGTGGCTGGCCATGTCTGCTGCCTAGACTGCCTAGACTGTCTCTCTATCTTGAGCATGCCGACAAAGGCGATCACACAATCCACTACAACTGCGTCATGAGGCTTGATGCCCAACGTATAAATACCTCTCTCCATGCGAATGGTTTGCAAGGGTTACATGCGTTCTGGGACTGAGTCTAGGACCAGGAGTCTAGACGATGCTTTGAAGGTAGCCACCGTAGCAACCAGCCCTTTTCCATCCTGTTCCTTTCTTCTTCGAGCTGCGTCGATAAACCGATCACTCCTGCGTAGGTACTGCATGGGGTGCCGGATTGCTTCGAAGTCACCTCAAGAAAAAACCGGAGCCACCAAGACATCCCGTGAATCTAAAGCTGTTTCTTTGAATGGGATGATTGATTGCCCTTCCAACCCTGGCTTGAAATCGACCATCACGCTGGCCAGCATGTTTCTGCCCGAAACCGCAGTTGATCCGAAGGAAGCTGCACTAGTGAAGCGAGGGTAGAAACAGCACCGCACCGAAAGCGGCGTCTGGTGACGCACCAGTTGTGCCCAACCAACGACCTAAGAAAGAGGTCCAGTCCCAGTAGCACCTCTCTTGGAGGGTCCCAGCTTGTGCTCCTTTTTCATGTGTTCGATGTCTTTCTCCTCTTTCTCCGCTAAGAACTTCGTCCACTCATCTGATGTGTTCATCGAAGCAACGGCTCGAAGGGACCGTCTGAGACCTTTGGCTCGAAGGGACCGCGTGGAGTACACGGACTGAGAAGAAGTTCACCAGCCCAATGCCCGTTTGACACTTCCTGGGCAGGGTAGACCCTTTTTTTTTGGAGGATCTTAGGGTCTTAGGTCCAATCTTGTGGTCGTCCATGTTACAGGGAAGGGAAGTGGCAACTCCACTGAGACTGGTCACTCGTCAAAGAGCAAGATGATAGCTCCATCCAATGATAATGACCATTCCATCTGATGACTCATCCAATAATCCTGAACTACCTGGCTTAGTCATCGGCATCAATAGCTTTGGGGGGTTCATTCCATCAAAATCTACAGTCTTTAGGCTCTCTTCCCCCCCCTTCCCGATCCCCTTATCCGTCTTTCACTGCTGTCTACGACCCTCGAGCGCCCGCGCTGCCGGGATGACGCTCTTGGAAGATCAGGCCGCAGGCCACCTGTTCCTGTGCCTCGGTTCGCTCGCTTCACCAGCGAAGCATTTCGGAAGACGAAGAGCTGGCCACCGGTTTCAAACGGGTGGAGCGCAGGCCGCAAGGCCCCAGTGGGGAGGAGTGTCTTTGTTGGGGTGTGGCGGGAATGAAGTCACTTCAGTTCTAAAAAGGATCACTTAAGAAGCCAAGCAGGGTCACCAAAAGCGTGGGGGAGGGGGAATGCTACCAATGTGCCCGGAGGAAGGTCGTGCTCCTGACGAACTCCTACACATAGCTCACAGGCGAGCTCCTGCCAAATCTCATATATGCTGTACGGTACCACATATAGATAATATATGATAATATATCAGTTTCCGAAACTCCTTAGGCACCCTTCGGATGGTGCTGGTAGGGTAAAGGGTTGCAAGTATCTTCCAAGGATCTCCAAAAACTTGGGACTACCACGTAGTCAGAATACCACAGAGTGCACATGGCTACGTGTGGCCATTTCTGAAGCAGGGGTCAACCTTGGCAAAGTCGAACGGTGTATTGGTTTCATTATGTTACCACTTACTGCATCACTGAAACAATGTGCTGATCAATTCAACAAAAACTGATCGTCAGACTAGAACCATACTGAGCACCAGCCAAATCCTCCAAAGATATCACGAGGCCCAGCTGGTACCGCCCAACGACACAGCTGACACCTCCAAATACCATATATACATGATAACGACACAGCTGGCACGCGCGGGAACCCTGTGACGCGGCATGCGAACAAGCTGCAACGTCTGGCGGTGAATCTTCCTGTCTGAACGGAGTGTTGCTACTCTTAATGTGTGGAAAAAAGACCCACTGCAACGCAATTCCTTCTTTGGGGCAAACTCTTAGTGCACCTGTTTATCCATGCGGTTTGAAACACAAAGAAACTAGAAATCAGCTGGCACGGGAACCATGGTCTGTCCTTTTGAACCACAGGAGCGACCAAAGAGTTTGGATTGACCATTCGGCTAATGCTGGCTTAATCTGGCTTCATAGAAACCAGTGGACCAGTAGTACACGCATAAATCAGAAACAGTTGGAGAACCGGTTCCTGGGTCAGTCTTCTCCGCTCTCCTTGCCCCTAAACCCTCACATTGAACATCCATTTAGATGGAGAGTCCTCAACTCTGCAGCACCAAAACAAGAGTATAGGTCCCCTCAGAAGAAAAAGTGCCTCCGAGACAATACCAAACCACTGTTCGAGCTCCACTACTCTGTTGGTTTGAGTCCCACCAATCGCCAAAGTTGTCCACGAAACAATGAAACGACACGATTAAGATAGAAGTTGTGCATCTGATCCTGTGCCAAATGACTTGCTCACCTCTCTACTCTATTCCCCCCTGAAAGGAACTCGGAACTTGTTTCAAGCGCACCACGGACGTCCCTGACTGACCCGGGGGTTCCGGCACCCCCTCCAGCACTCGCGCCGGCCTTCGTTCTTGACACCGGTCCACTGCCGAAGCACCGCAGCAGGTCTTCCAGCTGCTCGGTGGGCAAGGCCCTGGCAGAACAACGTGGGTAACCAGAATGGAGGCTGGGTCCAATTGGTGTTCTTTGGTCATTTTGATTTAATTACATTTACATGTGTATGGTTTTCTATTTGGGATTACAGTGGATTATGCATAAGATACTGGCAAGACCATCTGGCTGCATTCCTCGCATCTTCGACATTATCTACTCTCCAAATGTCTCAGACATGTCCTCTTGTGCACATGGAAGCCCCGGCCACAATGCTGGACATGTTTGCGGGATTTTCGGGAATCTTGGTTGAGTGCTTGGGCAGCGGCGAAAGGGAAAAGGCTGGCTACCATATTCACTGCAGTAGTCAAGGGCGGCCTGGCCACGGTCATGCGTTCATGTGATGGGCACTTGCAGTGTGTCTCGAGCAATGTCCCCAGGCACCCAATGAAGAGCCAGGTCCAGTGCCCCCTGCAGCACGACAAATCCCTCCTGGAACCCAAAGCCACCACAGCGGAGCTATCGGCCCAAGCAGGGTCCAATTCTCTGCAGCCTCTAGTGCGGAAGTAGGCATGATGGCAGCCATTGCTGATCAAAGTAAGTGTTACAGTACCCACTGACTCCCACTGTTTGTTGGGGTGTGGTCTGCACATGGAATGTCTACAATGATCCGTCTGCTCATCCTGAATATCTTAAAGGATCGAAATCCTCTAATGAAAAACAAGATGCATTTCAGATCATTAATAATACTTATGTCATTTAAGTAGAAACCACTGGACACCACTGGTGTCGCCCGTTGTAGAAACCCAAGCGGTGTCGCCCACGCAAGCATTCCAGGCCTAAAGGGACATCCATGAGCCTCTGAGGCCTGCGGAGAGAAGTACAGAAGAACCGGCGGCGATTGCCGTCTGCGGAGAGAAGCGCAGAACCAGGAGACCGACCGACCGTGCCTGCACAGCAGCAGCGCGGCTGCAGAAAGCCCTTTTCACTTCGGTGTGTTCACTTAGGACTTCGAAAAAACGGCAATCTCCGTTTGCGTCCAACTTTACATGAAATGTGTGAGGGCTTCTTCACTCTTGACATCAAAAGCCAGAGAGCTTTTGAACAAAACCCACCAGTTCTTTACACAAGATCGTCTGTACAGCTTTGGTGCCGTAAAGTGCACGCTTCCAATGCACCTGTGCATGCCCCTGGGGTCGACCCTCCTAGGGCTGACGGAATCGTCCACCAAAGAGGCTCACGGAGTCATAGGGCTTCGAGGCCGTGCAAAGCCCACCCGCATGCGACTGGTCAAACAGGCTGGTGTTGCGCAGCGTCGCCGCGAAGTGGCGCCAGGCGTTCAGCCGCTGCTCCGAGCAATCCAGGCCGTGGTAGAGCTTGTCCATGACCTCAGGCCACCAAAGGAACAAGGCCTGGAAGAGGCAGGCCAACATGATGGCGCCCATCAGCAGGGCGTAGAAGAAGCCAAAGCTATAGACCTTGAAGAAAGGCACCTTGGCCGGACTCCAGGGACACAGCCACAGAAGAGCCATGTAGCTCAAGCCCAGGAGAAAGGACCATGTCCAATAATAGCCAATGGGAGACCATGTTGACGCAATGAAACACTGCTGGCTGTAGTCCTCTTGGTAGGCATAGAGGTGCCTCACCAACACTGTCGTGATCCGATTGAAGCCTGGTGTGAAGATCAAGCAAACGGTGAAGGTCATGTACTGCATGTGCAAACCGTGAAGGCCTTGGGATGCAAAGGCAATACCACGAACACCTGAAGCCATGATACCGAATCCAATCATCACAAAGAACATGGTCTCTGCTCCCCGTTTGTTCTGCACATCACAGAACCACAGGGACAACGTTCCAAGTCCAACGCAAGCAAGGATGATCACGAGTAGAACCGAACCGAAACGCGTATGCCCCTTCATGGCACTGACATTGCTCTTGATCACGCCAAAGTAAGCCAAAGCGACTTGCAGCAAAATCCCGCCCAGCATGGGCACTGCAAAAGTCATATGTGACTTCAGAATGACCGGCAAAGAGTTGAAAACAGGGTTATACAATGTCCCAATGTCGGCTGGCCGCGGCTCATACGGCTCGTTACCGCTGGTATTCCACCATGACCCATACCATGCTGACATCACAATGCTATAGCCGAAGATCAGCCCGGGAGGAGTACAGTAAAGTACCACCAACCAAAACCACTGTGCCTTGAAGCCATGGAGGTAGTTGTCCCAATCCTTGTCCACCTCTTGACCCGTTGACCAGCTTTGACCTGAGCCGTCAGAGCTCAGCTCTGTGGTCAGAGGTGCATAGGAGGATGGTTTGGCCATGGATGCGGTGGAAGACGTCTTGCGGTCCACAAACTCTCCGTCAGCTTGAACCCAAAATGGCTGTTTTCAGGACCACACTCAACTGGCTCGCGGTCGAAATCAACATCCACAAAAGATCGCGCGGCGGGTGGCAAATTAGTTCTATGGGGTGCCCTCCTAAACAACAACTGCTATCTGCCCACTGTGTGTTGAGTGTACTTGCCAAAAAGTTGTAAATACGTCTGAAATCTATTGATGAATAGCACCCCTCATTGTGGATTGTAAGACCTCTTCATCTGGGTGGGGGGTTTATGATTCCAGAATCTACCGAACACCGGTGATTCCTTGGACTCGATGCTCCGCTCGACCAAGGTGCCACATGCTCCATCCACTGGTACCCGCCTGGGGCATGGGAAAGCCCAAGGTCTTCCAGCCTTAGAAATACGATGAAAGGCACTCATCACTGCATCAAATGAAGTTGAAAGATCTCGGGTTCGTGAGTACAGGTAGATCTACATAATAGACTCATAGACTCATTGATTTTGAAGAAATCTCCCGAGACATGGACCGTAAACCCTCTTATGATTGAAGTGGGGGTTGACATCATATGAACAGCAGTCAAAATGACACCTGGGAGTTCGGCCAGCTGGGATTCTTAAACCTCTGTATGTCACAGTTACCCGCATCAAGGCTTCACCCCACAAAATGGGTCAACTCACCTCCCTGGTATGGACTCACATCATCTCACATCCGTCTCCATAGGACACTTCAAGAACCAGGCGCAGTGATTTCTCCCTGATTTCTCATCATGGTTAGGTGGATGGCTTGTTTTTCCCCGATGTTGGAGGACCATTTTCCTCTACACCACGCATGGATGTCCGCTCAGTCAACCCCCCTTGGTTGGTTGTCACCCGGTAAGTAACAAAGATCTAAAGAACAAACTTTCCACTTAGGTTTTAGACCAAAAGAAACCGGCATTGAATCAAAAGTCGCACTTGGCAATCTCTCAATTTGCAGGCCTCGTATTGAGGCAAAAGAGGAATCAAGCAGAGTTCGAGAAGCATCATGTTCCTGACTTTGTTTTAGAATGATCGAATGCGTTGAAAGACGGTGTGTCGGCAGCATTGTTTGCTGTGGAGCAGGGAGTAGTCAGTAGTCATGCGTAGTCTGTAAAGAACTGGAGAACCGCATTTGCATCAGGAAGTTTGGACGACGTGCGATGCCACCGGCACACTTCCCCTGGTATCCAAAATGCAAAGGACGAACATGGTATTGGTGTTCGCGAGAACAGGTGGCTTTCCACTTCCGTGACTAGTTCAGCGAGTGTATTACAGTAGTAACAAATTCACCAAACATGCCGGGATCTGATGATCTGATGGGCACCAACATCCACTGCGTGAGCATAAAAGATGCAGGACGAACACATCCATCAATTGAGCCAAGAGACAGCTCCAGCCATACGCGGGCTTGCGTTTTCCTTAGCTGTTCATGCATGCTTGAGCATTCGTGTGCCTGGGTTGAGCTTCAGTGTGCCCGAGTTTTGCCCCACAATCTGGAACCAAAGCCATATTCTTGGAGGCTCCACCAATGGACGTGTCCATGCAGGCGGACATGCCTTCTATTAAAACTTTATAAATTAGATTCTGGAGTTGAAGCAACAGGACAACTCAAAAACACTTCAAAGGCATGGTATAATTATGACTCGGCCTACACAAATGTCGTTTCATCAAAGTAATGCAAAATTGTGTGAGCATCCAAAAGGATTGGAGTACACAACAGTATGGTTTGAGGATATTCAAACCTGTGGCGTGGAAAAGAGGACTGAATCTCGAAAAGTGCTGGAAGTTCCCTTAAATTGATGAGGGTTGAGACAATAAGCCCTGTGTCAAACAAATGACGGTTCAGGCCTGTTTCTGTACGAATCCGCTTTTTGTAGTCTGTCCTTTTGGGAAACATGGATTCACCCTACACCAAGCTGGTTCTTCGTGAGCGGGGTAACCTGGTAAGCTTGGGTTAAAGATGAACTACGGCCGAAATGTACAAATCCCTTATTCTGGATTCCAACCCCCCTAAAACATAAAACGAGAAACTGCTCGCAGCAGCTTGGCTCGTTCAACTCGGGGTTCATCCAACCAGGTCAATCCAAGGGAATCCGCCCCTTCCACCCGCTCTTGATCTATGCGTCCATTCCTACCGTAGGCGTGCTGGATGTGATAGGAGTGTTCTCGATCGAAGACCTCCTGACATCGATCTTCGGGAAGGTTTAGGTGCCAGCAGTTCGGAACTGAAGCTCAAGCTGAATGAAGATGTTACTCTCCCTGGAACTAGCATTCCCAAACACGACCCATGGGACTGCCATTTATGCCGATCAATTGACCCCCAAAACAACCCTAATGCAGGCATATATTATGGCAGTCCCATGGAGTGTCTGGGATTGGAAGTGGAATTATTCTCCCCTGTTTGTAGAGACCATGATCATCCGTACGGGACCATTCCATCCAATTCCAGGGAGTATACGCAACCTGTTGAACTCAGAATCATGTCTGAATCGTCCACTGCGATCACTAATAGCCGGCTAGTTGTTCGTGGGGTAATCTTTGTTTGAATCAAATCCATTTAAAACTGACATCTGTCCAGTACAAGGAGCTGAAATCATATCCCTGAGCCCCTGGTCATCGAATTTCATCTCATCTCCACTCTAAGGATCCTCAATAAGTGTTCTGAGAAGTCTTCCTTGGGCCTTGGGAGATGCAAGGCGGCAGCTACCCCTGGGTTCCATGGTGGTCCTCCCAAAAACAGGCTACGTGGTGCAAAGGCACATGGACAGAATCGCCTGCAGTACAGTCAGTACTATGCACCGTTCTATACCCTCATGGTCAGACATGCCCTGAATCGAACTCTATGGCTGTGGGGAGACTGGCACCAGGATCCCGACCGGTTGACCTACCGGGTGACGGTCTTCAAGCTCGCTACATGGTGGACTGGTTGGGCTCCAGGTCGAACGACCGTGTGTCGAACGACGCACCGTTGCACCTCAAGATGTATATGTCTCGCGGTCCACTGAACGATCCAACTTGGACATGTTCAAAAGCTGGAAACCACCAGTGCTGCCTGGGGACTGCCTATATATAAGGACCTATCCCGGTCGAGCTCCTGGACCACCTGAGAAGATGGGTGAGAAGATGGGGTGAGAAGATGGCTCGTTTCCACCTGACACACTGAGGAGATGGGCCAGGAGCCCGACCGGGTACCCTATCCCATCTTCACTCCTGCGTGACCTTGATGTCTCGTAGCAACTCGCGGCGCCACCAGGTCATCGCCTCCGCCAGCGGCAGCCTGACACGAGATCCGAAGGACCGTTTCACGAAGGGACATGACGAAGGAACCCCAAAACAGGTACAACATGGTACAACATGGTACAACAGTACTGTACCATATCTTGTACCCATTTTCGAAGGTACTTTTTTCCGGTTCTTACAGGTCGAGACTCCAGCTGAATGAGCGCGAAGATGCGCGAATGATCCGAAGAACTCGCGTGGACGGAGTGGCGGCGATGATATTTCACTGCCTGAGGATCTTCAATTCAGAGGATTTGATTAATCAGTTCTAATTTACAATTCGTATTGAGCAGGTCTTCCTTAATCAAATTCCAGAACATTGGAGACGCACCTACCCCATATTATTACGAATCTAACATGAGTTGTGGGTCATGTCACTTCGTCCGCAACCCCCTCCAGATCCAGATCATTCCTTCGCCGTCCAAGCAGCCCTGCTTCTCGCAAGAGCGGCCGCAACTGGGTGCGGCCCAAGTTCCTCCGAGCCGAGCAAAGCGTAGCGGACATGGCGGTGGTGCGTGCAGATGATGGACATGGCAGCTATGACGTGACATTTATATAGACTCACATAGACCGTAGACCCTGGGTCATAGATCACGATCCCCAAAGCAACAGTTTCTTAAAACGAGCTCCCAAACAACTGGTCACGGCCTGACATGAGGAACAGGGAAGGCTCAGAAGGCCGATTGGGTGGTTGTGCAAGACAGGGATGCAAGAGGACTGGCAAGAGGTTGTTGTAACTGTAGAATGTTGTAAACTGTAATATATAATATATACACATAAAATTAATGATATACTTACTAGACCTTTTCTCCAAAGGTCATGAGATCCTGGGGGTTGGTTCAACCTGGTTCCTTGACATATGTTTCTCTCGTGCTTTCTTCAACCCCCATCCCATTCCCAATCCAACAGCATGATGATCATCGCTGACCAACCCAAGCCTCAAATCTTCTATCTCAAAAACAACATAACCTGCTATCCCTGAGAACCAAGGGCAGCTGACGATTCACGTTTTGTTTGTTGCAGTAATTACTACTTACTGTACATGTAATTGCAGGTATATAATTACACTAATCTTCAAGTGTTTTGTGACGGCCAATGTATGTCAATGTCAGTATACCAACCTGTTCTTTTCGATTTCATCTTTGTCCTTCTTCAAGGGTCTGATCCACTTGCCAAGCCAAGAAGCTTTAGGTGGGTGCCGTTCCGCTGAAAGCTCACCAGGTGCTGCATGCCTCAAGCTGACAGGCTGGGAGCTGGACATCCTGGAACCCTTAGGCATCGAACGGAACATCAACCCCCCAACTGATGCCCACTCGGTCTACCAACGGTCTACCACCTTTGGACCACCAAAAAATCACACGCCTTTTAGAACACCAACACCTTCAAAGCCAGCGATCCTATCACATTCAACTCCTGAGGTCCTGAGCTCCAACCCGAGGATTGCAGTGCCATGCCAAGGTACAAGGTGGAAAGGACCTCCGATAGATCTCCTGCCATCCACAAAGTCAGGCCAACGTGTCAGGCTGGGAATCGGGTGACCCGACTTGAGTGCACCACAAAATGATCTCAGATTCTTGTGGAGATTCGAGCTTGAACAAGCTGTCTGGACGTGATAGGTAAAGGCAAAACCAAAGGGTACCCAAACAATCTGGTATTCAGACTGCCTTCTGCGAACCCAAACCCCTTCTATGAACTTCTGCAAAGGCAAGAGGGTTAGCACGAACCCTCGGGCAATAGCACAAGAAGTCTTCCACGAACCCCCCAAATCATCTACGAACCCCGCAGGGTTAGCACAAACCCCAAAGAACTCCACGAAGCTCTGCGAACGGCAATCCACATGCTTCTATACTTAGTGCATACCCCGTTCGTTTTGCCCTGAATAGGTAATAGTACGCGATAGCGTTGGAGCTGCAACAGGAGGTTGCTTTGGGAAACATCCTAAGTCACCCATCCTCTCACTGTTTCTGCAGGATCTGTCGGGGC